GCTGCTGGCACCACTTTCTCTTTTGCTGGAAGGGAGATTCTAGATAAAAATCTTTATTTTTGCCATTCTTTGCTTTTTCATTCATATTTTTTTTTCCTTTGCCTCAGGGTTACAGAGTGGAAAACTCCATGTTCTCTTTTTCTTAACTCTACATTTTCAGGTTGGTGCATTTTATCACTGCATTCTATGCATCATCTATCTATCTATCTATCTATCTATATATCTATCATCTATTATCTATCATCTATCTATTATCTATCGTCTATCTATTATCAATCATCAATATCCATCTAATTGTATATCTATCTATCATCTATGTTTGTATGTATCTACCTATCATCTATCTATCCACCTATGTATACCTATCTACCTATCATATATTTATAAAATTTATATATTCATATATATATAATTTCCTTCATGTTCATACAACTATGACATTAATTAAATTCCAACTAACAAAAATTACATTCTACAAGCTTGGTGTAGTGGCAAGCTGTGCCACCTGACCCTGGGACCAAGGTACACCCTGTGAGGCTGAGAATCACTTTTCTTTGTTAGACCTTACCTTTCTCCTGGGTAGGACTGGGCAGTCAACCTAGAAATATTAAAGGTGGCTCGTCATCTTGAAATGCATCGGTTCTACGGCTACAGGAGACGTGAACTCTGAACGGAGAGCTGTTGTCCTTTAACATGTAGCCCGGGCATCCGCACACATCACTGTGAGGATAACTGTGTGGTGCTGGCTGCTCAGCACACCCCAAAGGCAAGCTTGCTCTCCCAAGGGCCATATTTTACAAAGAAGATGGCAGCCCTGAGAACATGGTCCTCATAAACCCCTCTTCCTGCACCAGACTTCTGTGGCCATCAGTCCGTCTTGCCACCATGAAAGCCAACCACCGTCTTGTGTAGTGACGGGTGAAGACTGTTTGATCAGAGCTGTCTGACTGTCTTCAAGCAATAGAAATACAAGATAAAGATGACTTTCCCAGCACAGCAAACATAATTGAGCTGTACAGCATGGCTCCTCAAAACCATTGATTGTTCTAACCAATAGATTCCTTTGCATTTGATTTTTTTGTAATGGCCTTTGTCTTTTATTGCCTCTAGCAACTACTGTTAGAATGCAGGAAACTTGCCTCCACTAAGAGGCTATTTGACTTATGAACTCAAGCCAGACCAACATAGCCAAGCTCTCCTATCACCCCCATATCTGTTCTTACCCCTCCTCTTCTCTCCTCATGCTTGTCCAGAAGGAGATCCTTCTCCAAATTATCAATTTTTTTTTATAGCCAATATGAGAGTCTTGTTGGAAAATGTTGACCTTCATGGCTACACTTTTCTGGAGAAATCATTTCTCAGACCCCCAGCACTTGCATATTTTGCTTCTCAGCTGGATTGCCTCATCCCAAAAAGCTAGCTTGCAACCACACCATCACCCACACAGAGGATGTGGCCATGTCAGGCCTTCCAGCCTATGGTCAATTTATCTGAAAGAGTCACCTGCTAAAAGGCATTATTTCGATCAACAACTGTTTAAGAGAACCCTGGCACAAAAGCCAAACATATTACTTAATTTTAAGTGGCTGTCTGCTTGTTGGCCCAACCGTCTCTCCTTCATACCAATGCTTCTTTCAAGAGATTCCTCTATTTCCCAGTTTAGAACCCGAGTAGGTGTCTCCAAATAAGTGAGCATCCAGTGTCCACCCATTCCACTACTATGAGAGTCTGTACATAGATACTGCCAACATCAATGCTCACCTACTGCATACCCCAACATGACCAAGAGCTGTACATCAAACAGCAATTCTGCTCCTTCTGGCTTTCCAGACCCAAGGTAAGAGTGTTCTTTGGTCTCAGATTGACCGTAGAGGCATTGATATTTGAAATAAGCAACATAAAAAAGCTCACTGTTTCTCATACATGTTTCCAAAGAAGATATACAGGTGCCCAAGAGGCACATGAAAAGATGTTCAGCATTGCTAATCATCAGGGAAATGCAAATCAAAACTACACTAAGATATCACCTTATACCCGTCAGAATTGCTATAATCACTTAGACAAAAAATAACAAACGTTGTAGAGGATGTGGAGAAAAGTGAACCCTCATACACTGCTGGTGGGAATGCAAATTGGCACAGCTACTATGGAAAGCAGTATGGAGATTTTTCAAAAAATTAAAAATAGAAATATTGGGGCTGGCCCTGTGGCTGAGTGGTTAAGTTCATGTGCTCCGCTGCAGGTGGCCCAGTGTTTCGTTGGTTCGAACCTGGGCGCAGACATGGCACTGCTCATCAAGCCATGCTGAGGCAGCGTCCCACATGCCACAACCAGAAGGACCCACAACGAAGAATATACAACTATGTACCCGGGGGCTTCGGGGAGAAAAAGGAAACAAATAAAATCTTTTAAAAAAAACCCTCTATAAAAATAGAAATATCATATGACCCAGCTATCCCACTACTGGGTCTTTATCCAAAGAACTTGAAATCAATAATTCAAAGAGACTTATGCACCCCTATGTTCATTGCAGCATTGTTCACAACAGCCAAGATGTGGAAGCAACCCAAGTGCCCATCAAATGACAAACAGATAAAGAAGATGTGCTATACATATACAACAGAATACTACTCAGCCAAGAAAAAAGACAAAACCATCCCAATCACAGAAACATGGATGGACCTTGAGGGTATGATGTTAAGTGAAATAAGCCAGACAGTGAAAGACAGACACTGTATGATTCCACTCATATGTGGAAGATAAACAAACACATGGACAAAGAGAACAGAATAGTGATTACCAGAGAAAAAGGGGATGGGGAGTGGGCACATGGGGTGAAGGGGCACATTTACATGGTGACTGACAAGTAATAATGCACTACTGAAATTTCACAATGTTGTAAACTACTATGACCTCAATAAACAAAAAGGCTCACTGTTTTAGAACAGAGGATTGAAGAAGAAACAAATAAAATCAACATAGAGATAGCAGCACTGGGGAAATGAACTGAGTTACAATCCTAATGAAGGGGAAAAGCTAGAACTGTCCAGGAGGACCGTCTAGCTATCCGTAGAAAAGACTTTGGGCTGGAAAATAAAATTCAACCCCTGTATATATTCATTTTGCAGGGTTGTAGTAATAAATGACCACAAATCATGTGACTTATGACAACAGGAACTTACTCTCTCACAATCTGGAGCCCAGGAGTCTGAGATGAAGGGGTCACAGGGCCACACTCCCTCCGGAGGCTCCAGGGGAGGGTCCCTCCTGCCTCTTCCAGCTTCTGGGGCTCCAGGCGTCCCTGGGCTGGGGGCCGCATCCCTCCCGTCTCTGCCTCCGTCCTCACGTGGCTTCTCCTCTGTGTCTGTGTCTTCTCTTCTGTCTCTGATCAGGACACTGTCACTGGATTTGGGGTCACCTTCATCCAGGATGACCTCATCTCAGATCCTTTACTTCACTAGGATCATCTGCAAAGACCCTATTTCCAGATAAGTTTGCATTCACAGGTTCTGGTAGGATTTGGAGATACCTTTTAAGGTGCCACTCTTCAACCTAGGACACCTTAATAATGAATTCACGCTCCAAATTGCCTTAGAAGTCTTAAACAGTATCCACTTAAAAACCAAAATAGTCACTCGCCCTTTCCACATGTTTCTCCTTCTGTATCCTTCCCATTGCTCTCACTACCTCACAAGATGACACCATCATCTGCCTTTGTAAAACTTAATGAGTGACTGACTCCTCCCCCTACTGGATAATAGAACCGCACACTTCTTAAGAATAAATCCATGCTTTATTTACCAGAGAATCTATACAATGCCTCGCACATAATAACCACATCTTGTTTGGCAAATTAACATAAATTTATCCAAAGCATAAGCCTTTAATTTTTAGAAAGAAAAATAGATATCTATTTTTCTACATCATTTCAGAGTTGTTCTCTAGATATGCATGCCCTTTGCTGTGAAATCATACAGATTTTTTTTTAATTTCATACATCATTTACTGAAACGCCCTCTACAATGTAATGGAAGATAGAGCTTAAGGAAATAAAACTCTGTAGAAAATAAATTATCTTCTCTCTTTGTCTTGAGACCCAAAGATCTTACCTTATTAACAACCTCAGAGAGTCTCACAAAGCAAGTCTAGCAGTGAAGACAGCTGAACTCCAGCTTAACGGGAACCCTCGTTAATCAGACAGAAACACCAAGGTCCCGAGCACCACAGCTGGACGTAGTCATCCTGCAGAGAAGACGACCCTCACAGGACACAGGGAAAAAGTGTTTTGACAGGAAATGTATGGCAAAGGTGTGCCACGCGTGGTCACCAGATCTTGCTTCACTTGACCAAAGCAGAGCGCTGTGTGCATGGAGAACACACTCTGTTAGGGTAATGCTGAGCTGCTTTAACGAATGAATCCAAAATCTCAGTGATGCTAACAAATAGCTGTTGTTAAATCCAAAATGGCTGTTTCCGGTTGGCTGGTCACGCTCCTCAAGAGCTGGTTCAGGGACCCTGCATCCTTCCATTTTGTGGCTATGACATTTGTAACCCTTGCCTCCAAGTTCACCAGGATGTGGATATTTATCAGAGGAGAGAGGATGAGAAAGTGCATTAGCCTGCTAGGGCTGCCATATCCAAGATCCACAGATATTTATGTTTACCGTCCCGGAGGCTTGACGTCTGAGATCCACGTGAGGGCAGGGCTGGTTTTTCCTGAGGCCGCTCTCCGTGGCGTGTGGACGTGTCTTCTCCCTGTGTCCTCACGTGGTCGTCCCTCTGTGCGTGTCTGTGTCCTCATCTCCACTTCTCATAAGGACCCCAGTGCTGTTGGATCAGGCCCTGATGACCTCATTTTACTTTAATCACCTCTTTAAAAACACCATCTCCAAATACAGTCAAATTCTGAGGTCCTGGGGTTAGGACTCCAACAATATGGATTTTGGGGGAACACAACTCAGTCAAGAACAGATGTCATGCTCTTATCTTGCCACCTGGCCCAGAAGAGAAATGTGAGAATTCGATGTGCACTTCGTTGGCAAGCCTTCATTCCCATGGTCCCATCTCGATGCCCAGGTTAGAGGTGAGAGTCTGGCTCACATAGATGCTAGTGCCTTAGCCATTTCTCCACAGTGACTCAACCCAACAGATGAGGAGCATGGACAGACATGGAAGAGTCACGGTGGACAGGTAACCATTTCAGCCCCAACTGCACTTCAGAAGACGCCTTTCTGCCTCCACACCAACACCATTCCGTTCTCTACGTCGGGTCTCCATCACTAGAGAGAGACGCCATAATTGATTCTCTTTCTCAGTTGATCACCTCTTCTTGTAGAAACCATTCCTAAGTAAATATTTCTATATTACACTCATGCCTTTAGATCACCTCCCTAACCAGGACACTGCTCAGATTTGTTATTTATTTTACTGACTTTAATTAGCTGGATGGAGGAGGAAAACAATCCCTCGGTTATTGGCATGATGGTGAAACAGATGAGATCAGATGCCAGATCATCTCTGCCTGGGAGCATAAAGGGACGAGTTGGGGCCCCAAAAGGGAGCACTGGAAAGGAACATTGACTGAACGAGAATCCCTGCAGGATGGAGCTGAAGAGGGGATTCTCCACTCAGCAAAGACTTAGGTAACATATGCAGCACTCAAGACTGGCGTCATGCACTGGAAATAGGAAGAGCATGGTCTTTCACCATCTCACAGTGTAGGTAGAACAGCAGATCCATAAACAGAGAACTGTAGCAAAATGGGGTGAGTATTATGACAAAGGCGTGTGCCAAAGAGACAAGGGGAGACAATACTCCTATACTCTACTATGTTCTGCAGGCAGAGAGCCTAGGAGCTATTTATCGTAAAACGATCCAGGTGTCTTAACAAACAGAGACAAATGGTATTCTCTTTCTCCAGGTAACTCTGATAGGAGAACAACGAATTAAAACAAGGAAGCCCAGACAGTTCAGAGTCCAGGGCCCAGATGACATTCTTGGATCCCATTGTTCCCAGAAACTACGGTGCAATTTGAGCTCTTCTAATTCTTATCTGGGAGGGTGGAGAGGAACATGGTCAGTCACCCGGGAGCCTGGAAGAACAGGATTTACCCGGCCCGAGTGTGCAGATCAACAACCCAGATCTCCAGCCTCCAACAAACCAGCCTCCTCAACTGTGAAATTCAACTCAGTTAGAGTCTGGAGAGAGGGAAGGGAGACCCAAAGGGTTATATGTGCCTTCCGAATGTCTTTTTTAATTTATTTCACCAACTGTGATCAGACAAAGAGGGCTTCTCTCCCCAGGGGTTGTGTCTTCCCAACCCAGGAGTAAAGGGAAGTATTTAGGTTCTTTCCATGACTTGATTAGCTGTGGATGTGGCTCCTCTTTATCAATATAGAGAAAGTAATCACCCCCACTCTATGATGCCATATAACAGCTTCCTTTAAAAGGAGGGAAATGGATAAACAAACTGCGGTCCATCTATACAATGGAATACTATTCGGCCTTAAAAAGGAAGGAAATTCTGACACATGCTACAATGTGGACGGACCTCGAACACGTTATGCTAAATGAAATAATTGATTCAAAAGGACAAATACTGTATGATCCCACGTATATGAGGTCCCTAGAATGATCAAATTCATAGAGACAGAAGGAAAAATGATGGTTACTAGGGGCTGGAGGAGGCGAGAATGGGAAGTTGCTGTGTAATGGGGACAGAGTTTTGGTGTTGCAAGACGACGAAAGTTCTGGAGGTGGATGGTGGTGATGTTTGCACAATAACATGAAGGTACTTAGCACTACTAAACGGCACACTGAAAAACGGTCAGGATGGTAAATTTTGTGTTATGTCTATTTTACCACAATTAAAAATTTTAGGAAGGGACGCTACTTTGAAATGACTGAGGCAAAATGCAAGGCATTCTCTCTGGACAAGCATTTCACATGCCTCTGGCTCCACATATTCACGGATGCCCAACGGCTAGTCTACCTGCCAAATCTTGTTGTGATAGTCTGGCCTCGAGGGAGTTCCTTATTCAGATTAGAAGGTCATTTCTGAATGCCGGTTGCAGTTATATGATTTGTTCTTTGATAAAATAGCCTAAATGTTCTTCTCTGCTCGCTTCCTGCCTCCCCTTAGGAGCAAGGCTGCATTATCCTCTGACACAGTGGGCGGTGCAGAACCACCCTTTCAGACAAGAGGCTCCTAAGATTATTGAAAGGAATCCTTCAGTCGTGAATCAAAGCCCGGACATACAATTCCATACAAAACTTCTCCAACCAGGGCGAGAGTGGTCACAAAAGCAGGCTGTGCCATTCACGAAACTATAGCCACTCTCCAACGCAACGATCCAAGAATAATTTTCCCCAAGAAAGAATCATCGGCTTTATAGTTACACTGAACCACATTTTCCACGCTGCGATGAATATTTTTGACATGATTCACGTGAAAATAACCACCTGCAAATCCAACATTCCAAATGCAGTTCCCTTAGCGACTGGGCATTTTCTTACTGATACAAACCCACCCCTGAACCCCTGACTACTTGTCTTTGAAGAGTATTTGCATGCAAAATGCTGCCACCATAGCAAACACTTAGAAATTTATAGCCCGGAATCTTTTTCATTTGGTCCACATGGATACAACTTTAATAACCTAATTCCATTTAGATCATTGAGTACTTAGAAACAAGAAATTATGGGACTTGGCTTCTTCATCCTGCCAATAACAGCTGTAAACAGTGCTGAACAAAAGATCAACGTATACGTTTTTAAAAAGTGCATCAGCGAAATTGGGCAAAATTAGTAAAGAATACTCAGATTCTGAAAGCTGTAAGTGAGGGTGAGAAGTCAGAAGGATGAGCTGGGCACTGCAGAGCCTACGGAATTGAGGTTCAGTTTCCACCGATCCCAGGAGTCTGATACAACATTCCCCCCATCCCACACAGAAACAGATCTCCCAGAAAAAAGATCTCCCAGTTGACCCACACAATTGCAGGAAATAATAAGTGCTCATTGTTTCAAGCCACTAACTGGAGGGTGAATTGCTCTGCAGGAAAAGCTAATTGCTACCATTTTGCATCCAAGATAACAGAACATTCATAGTTTATGCCCTGGGTCTTCATGCTACTCAGACTTACAGTCGGTTCTTCTTATCTGCAGATTCCATATTTGCAAATTTGCCTACTGGCCAAGATGTATTTGTAACCCCCAAATCAATACTTAGCACGTTCGTGCTCAATCACAGAAAATTTGAGTTCCCAGCTGAGGATGAAGGAACCGACGCCCTGCTTTCTTGTTTCAGCTCTCCTCCTGTCAGCAGTCTTTTCCTTGGTATAGTTACTGCCACGCTTTTGCATTTTTGTGCTTTTGGGCGGTGATTTTTCTGTTTAAAATGGTCCCCAGGTGTAGTGCTGAAGGGCTGCCTAGTGTTTCTAAGTGCAAGAAGGCTGCCATGTACCATATGAGAGAAATTACGTGTTAGATGAGCTTCCTTCAGGCAAGAGTTACAGCACCCATTGGCTGCGAGCTCAATGTTAATGAACCAACAATATATAATATAACTAACAATATATATTATTATTAACAATATATAATATTTAATATAATATATATTCAATGTCCTTAAACATAAACACACATAAAACCAGGTTATGTGTTGATGGGTTGATGAACATGTGGTGACCAGAAGCTCTCAGGAAACTTACCCTGTCCATCCCCTAGGAACACGGTTTATTACGCACCAATTTAGTGTTGGCAGCAACTGAACAGAACTTAATGGTGGATAATGAGAATCAACTGTACCTGGTTCGTCCCAGTCAGATGGTTGGATTGCATCTCTTGGCCCCTTGGAGTCAGCATGGGCATGAGACTAGTTCATTCAAAGAGGTAGGAGCAAAGAGACGTGTCAATTCCGGGGCAGCTTTAAGGGATAATTGTCATTGGCCACATCCCTTCTTCCCATCTGCCACAGAAAACAGCTGTTCCCTGCAAGGTGACAGTTCCTCATTTGATCTGCATGATAAGAACAGAAAAACATCTCTCTGCTGAACATGGCACCTCAAGTCAGCTGTCACACAGGTGCGACACCCCAAACCTGCATTACCCGTGCAGTCTGAGAAACGCAAGCCAGCAATTCAGGTTAAAGCAGTTTTAGACTGATAATGTCTCCAGTTTTAAAGAAATATGAAACATGCATGCTTAATAAACCTAATTAACTTATCAAATCTAAAGTTAATTATATTTACCTTCTGAAAATAGAGGAATCTTGAATTCAGAAAATGAAAACTCCATTCTTGATTTTCACACTTCTCTCATGCTTCTTTTGTTATATATTTGGGTTGATTTAGTTTTTGAAGCCCCAACAGACATGATTCTCATGGTCGTATATAACCTGGTAGAAACAAAATCACATAACTTATCAAGAGGAACCCATAACATTCCGAAACCCCCAAATCTTTCCAATGGACAAACTGCCCAAAATAGGAACAGGTGCCCCAAAAGAAGGAAGCAAAATTGTATCCACAAAGAATGCGTCCATTGGAATTTTGAGATGTAGAATGTGTATGTTTTATATGTTTAAGAAATAGAAGAATTGATACACGTAAGAACAAGATTGTATATGAAATTAGAGAAAAGAACCAGCCCAAACGTGTAGAAATGGAAAATACAATCCTTTTAGTTTAAAACTCACTGGACTGACTTAATAGTTGATTGGACAAATTAGAAGGTTGAACAAGAGAAAAAATATATCAACAATCTAATTAAATTACCCAAAATATAGGACAAGGAGAGAGAAAAGCAGAAAGTATGGAAGAAAGAGTTCTGAAATATGGAGGGTAGAATCAGGTCTCATATACATCTCACCAGGTTCCCTAAAGAGAGGAGAAGGAGAGGATGGATCTCTCCTGCTGGAGAGAGAATGGTGAGAACTTCCTAGAACCACCACAGGTGGAGTCCACAGATTCAGGACGCTCAACGAATCCTGTGCCTAGTCTATAAAAAGGAACTCATAACTCATCCCGTCAAAGTAAAACCACAGGACTCCAAAAGCAAAGAACAAATATGCAAGAAGCCAGAGAGAAAACAGAGACTTCCTTCAACTTGATGCTGCTTCAACTTTCAGTTAGAACAGAAACAGCCAGGACCTGGACGGCTGTGGAACGATGTGTTTAATAGCTAAGATAAAGTTTTGGTCAAGTTGGAATTGTACAGCCAGAGAAAATGTTCTTCAAGGGAGTGAAATTACAGTATTTTGGGAGGAGAATGTCAATGGCTGTTTCCTCGTGGAGCTGGTGGTAATTTTGCATGGCAGCACGGCTACCCAAAAGAATTATTGGAGGGGCTGCTGATTGCTTTGGTCTTGGAATTTTTTAAAAATGACTATTCCACTGCTATTCTTTCTGGCAATTGCTATTAGAGGGGATGACAACTGACTTCTCTAACGGGCTGTTTGATTTATGAATTTGCATCAGACTGGCTAAACCACGCTCTTCCACAATCTTGCCATAGGTGCTTCCTCCTCCCACTCCCTCACTTGAGTGAACCCTGGTCCTGAAGTGTGCCCCCCACCAAATTAACAGTTTTATTGAGTAACGGACATGCTGAATGATGCATTTTACATTGAAGGAAAGGGGCCAGCCTGGTGGTGTAGTGGTTGACTTTGCATGCTCTGCTTCAGTGGCCCAGGGTTCACGGGTTCCAATCCCGGGTGCAGATCTACACACGGCTCATCAAGCCATGCTGTGGCGGCATCCCACATACAAAATAGAGGAAGATTGGCACAGATGTTAGCTCAGGGACAATCTCCCTCACCAAATATATATATATATATATATATATATATATATATATATACACGTATTTTACTCACTTAAAAGTAACAATAACAAATCCAATACAACATTGTTCACAAACAATGCAAAAAAATAAAAAATAAATAAATTGAAGGAAAGTGACCCTCGATAATGAGTAAAGAAAGCACTAAATATCCAGAGACTATAACTTGGATAAATAAATGACCTTCAGAATCATGTCTGCTGGGGCCTCAAAAACAAAATCAAACCAGAATACAGAACAAAAATATTGTGAAAATCAGGAATGGATGTTTGCATTTACTGAATTCCAAGATCCCTCTATTTTCTATTTTCAGAAGGTAAATATGATTACCTTTGGATCTCATAATAAGTTAATTAAGTATATAAAGGATTCAGGCTTACATTTCTTTAAAAAATTAAAATATAGTGTCTGACTATCACATTATTAGATATAAACAAAACACACTTAGAATAAATAATTAAACTAAAAGCAGGCCAAAACAGAGAGAGAGACAGAGAGAGATGGAAAGGCAAGACAAATACAAATAAAATAATTAACTATAGAAATAAATCCAGATAATGGTAGGATTGAGTATCCACTCTCAGGCACTGTTGTTGGAAATGTAACATGTTCCAAACTTTGGCAAGCTAGTTGACAAAAATCTATCAAAATTGCATAGCCTTCTTCCTGGCATTTTCACTTCTGAATATTTGCTTCCGCGCACTCACTGAGGAAAAACAGTGGTGCCAGGATGTTCGCTGCAACATCGCCTATAATGGGAGAAAGATAAAAACTCAAGAAGCAGCCTTGAATATCCAGCAGCAAAGATAAGATATTTAAAAACTACACACACACACTCTTTCCTGACCAAGAGTAAACTCTAAATAAATATTTGCTAGCCAGTTAGATAAATTATTCCCAGATTTCCAGCTCTGCCATGGGGCATGCCATGGTCTGGACAGACCCACATGGAGGAATCCCATTCTACAGCATTCCTGGTTCCCAATGTACCTATAAGATCTCCCAGAGATGCACCAGGGGAACTTTACATCCACATTCCATTCTACACCATGACAAGGTTTTTAAAATTTTCTTACAACAGAGATCAGTATATGAAACAATACTAGTCACCCACAATCTCATAACTGAGTGACATCTCGATTAAGATGATGCTTAGGCATCTTTGCTGATCCCAGATAACATTTAAAACTGAATGTCCCCCTTGAAGACAGTCTCTCCTGCCACGGCTCCCAGCTCGGTGAGCTCCAGCTTCCTCCATTGCTCAAGCGGAATCTCTGTGGTCACACTCTAACTCCATCCCTTCAGTTCCTACCTTTCATTCAACATCAGTTCCTGTTTGTTCTCCCCCCTAAATCGCTCTCGTGCTGAGCTGCTTCTCTCCACCACCTCCCAGGCAGCCCAGGGTATGCCCCCGCTTCCTTGCTTGCCCTGTTCATCCCTTCTCCACTCAGCGTGGTCTTAAAATGCCAGCTCTCCTTCTCTCCCTCCAACGACTCGCATGATCCATACATCCGTGCAGAATCTGACCCGTGCCTCCAGCTCTCATCACACATTTACTACTTCACCTCTCTCAACAGCAGCCACTTTGGTCTTCCTGCAACTCCTCAATGTCCCAGCTCCTTCTCTCTCAGTCTTTTTGATATTTAGTCTCCAGGTCTTGAACTCTCCTCCCGAAGGCGCATCCTACTCATCCTCAGAACTCTCCTTCCATATCATTTCCTCGGGACAGGTGGCATGACTGTCTCCATTAGCTTGACTTTACTCTGTCACGGGCTGTCCTACACCTGAAGTTTTCCTTGCCATCATTTATCACAATTGTCGTTAATTATTAGTCAGTTTTCTGTTCAAAGTCTGTCTCCCTGGTAGCCAATAAGCAGTAAGAGTAAAGGGATCAAGTGCTTTCTCTTCACGTTTACATCCCAGGGCTTTGCACAGGATTGAGCACATAGTATATGTTAAATAAATATCTGGTGACTCCTTGATAGAATCAACGAATCAAGAACCAATGAATGGATTGAGGGAGACTGACCAGCCATTTTCTCCATACCAATGACATAGCGACACTGCACAGCATTTAGCAACCTCCTTTGCCTGGGTCTCTGTCCATCTCCCTCTGAAAGTTGGGGTGAGCTCACACCCTTTGCTCACCAAGATCAACTCCACATGCAGCCACACAGGCAGCTTTGCTGGCCATCACTACAGTTCACTCATAATTAAGCTGCAGTTTGAGAACAAGCTTCAGCCAGTCCTTCTTGGGAACAGTCTGTGCTCCCGTTGATAATGACCTCTCCTCTTCAGTCCACTGGGAGAGAGCTCCCCGGCATCACGATGCTCCAGTTCTGTGATTTCCCATCCCATAGGAGAGGTAACGAGTGATGCCAGGGAGCAGAGGGTTCCAAGCTTTTATTACAGGAGCACTCATCTTAGCTCTATTGGCCAGTAGAACATTTATGTTACTACAGTCTTCAGAAAGCTCTGGGCTACAGATGGGAGAAGCTTAGAGGAATCCACAGGGAAACCTTATTTAGAAATATATTCCCAAGTCCCCATCTATCTCCAAACTTTCAAGGCTCAACATTAAGAAACCTTCTTCCACCAAGCCACTCGCAACCACTCTTCTCAATCATTAGCAGACCCACTATCACGTGTGACTTCACTACATAAAGACACCTGACTTTCTTCATAAGAATGTCTGAAAAGCAATTAAAACTTTCAAAGGAGACGTTACCTGCAGACAAAAGTCTGCACTGCTCAGAGCTATGCCAAATCCATTGAGAAAGCTTTTGCTGACCATTCAGTTGCTTCTTGTTGTTTTAATAATGGGGTCTCTTGAAATGCTTGCCATGAGTTTACAGGCAGATGTGAAAAAAAATGCTGACACCTGACTTGCTCCAACTGCCGAACGTGTGACGTATCTACCGTAAAAACATACCAAAGAATATTGAACTGGGACTTACCAGAAAATACAGTGGAATTAAAATTTCAAATATTTTTTCAATATACAAAGGAATAGGCAAATTTGTCTAAATGAAATCTGAGGCAAATTTGTATAAATGAAATTCATTTGTATAAATGAAATACCTAAACCATTTTAAAAATGCATTACATTTAAAAGTATCTTGCTTTCCACAAATTAAAAGAAAACTCGCCTCTTCTGCAGATTTCCATCCTGGTCTCACCCACTGGTCCAGACCCTGTCATCACCCCCATTACTATAGAGGCTGGGCGATGGATCCATTCCCACTCTTGGGTGCTAACCCCTAATGGGAAGTCCTAACCCCCAATGGGATGGTATGAGGAAGTGGGGTCTTTGGGAGGTGATAAGGGTTATAGGAGGTCATGACGGTGGAGCCCCCACGATGGGATTAGTACCCTTATAAGAAGAGGAAGAGACCAGAGCTCTCTCGGTCTCTCCACCACGTGAGGTCACAGCAAGAAGACAGTCATCTATGAAGCAAGATGACAGCTCTCCCCAGACAGAGAACCTGCTGGCACCTTGATCCTGGACATCCAGCCTCCAGAACTGTGAGAAATGTCTGTTGTTTAAGCCCCCCC